TTGACTTACAGGAAATGTGTATAACTTCATCAGCCTGTATAGTTAGATCTACCGATCATTTTGATGTAAAACATTTTTTTACTGAAGGTGACCTCTGCCTATGCAGTTTTAGTAATATGCTTAGTATGACCTGTTCAGGGATGTGACAGGTTCACTTCAAAAGAAACTTGTCCTTAGTAAAAAAAAGTATCTTCACTGTCAGCAGCAATACAGTCACATACCCTGCGTACTTCCTAAACCAAAACTTGGAAACCTTAATATGCAAATCTTTATATCAGTAAGCACCCCCCACCCCAACTTGGTACCCCCCCACACTTTTTACCCTTTGGCTATTCAATGTGATGGGAGGCCCCATTACATGGGTGGAAGCAACACACTCACAAACAGTCTTTATTACTCTGTTGTTATTGACGTTAAGGCCCAAGTAGCACAACTGAGCTTTCATTGGTTGCGTTGTTTCCAAATGCTGATACAAGTATGGCCATCATTAGACTGATTATTTCTGATGAGGTTGATATGGCAGGCACTGAAATAAATGCCAGAGGTTATAATGAGGTGAGGTTTTACCACCTACCTGTCCTGCCCACTCCTTCACCCACTTGTCGCGTTTGCTGCTCATCTTCTTTAGCGCCAGACGACAGTTTCTGAGAAGCTCCTTTAGTGTCCAGCGCATGGTCCTCTCGATGTCGCACAGCCAGGCCTATAGGAAGAATGGGGGATAAACCTTAGCTACCTGAATTGAGGGATAAACCTTAGCTTCCTGAATTGAGGGAGAACCTTAGCTTCCTGAATTGAGGGAGAACCTTAGCTTCCTGAATTGAGGGAGAACCTTAGCTTCCTGAATTGAGGGAGAACCTTAGCTTCCTGAATTGAGGGAGAACCTTAGCTTCCTGAATTGAGGGAGAACCTTAGCTTCCTGAATTGAGGGAGAACCTTAGCTTCCTGAATTGAGGGAGAACCTTAGCTTCCTGAATTGAGGGAGAACCTTAGCTTCCTGAATTGAGGGAGAACCTTAGCTTCCTGAATTGAGGGAGAACCTTAGCTTCCTGAATTGAGGGAGAACCTTAGCTTCCTGAATTGAGGGAGAACCTTAGCTTCCTGAATTGAGGGAGAACCTTAGCTTCCTGAATTGAGGGAGAACCTTAGCTTCCTGAATTGAGGGAGAACCTTAGCTTCCTGAATTGAGGGAGAACCTTAGCTTCCTGAATTGAGGGAGAACCTTAGCTTCCTGAATTGAGGGAGAACCTTAGCTTCCTGAATTGAGGGAGAACCTTAGCTTCCTGAATTGAGGGAGAACCTTAGCTTCCTGAATTGAGGGAGAACCTTAGCTTCCTGAATTGAGGGAGAACCTTAGCTTCCTGAATTGAGGGAGAACCTTAGCTTCCTGAATTGAGGGAGAACCTTAGCTTCCTGAATTGAGGGAGAACCTTAGCTTCCTGAATTGAGGGAGAACCTTAGCTTCCTGAATTGAGGGAGAACCTTAGCTTCCTGAATTGAGGGAGAACCTTAGCTTCCTGAATTGAGGGAGAACCTTAGCTTCCTGAATTGAGGGAGAACCTTAGCTTCCTGAATTGAGGGAGAACCTTAGCTTCCTGAATTGAGGGAGAACCTTAGCTTCCTGAATTGAGGGAGAACCTTAGCTTCCTGAATTGAGGGAGAACCTTAGCTTCCTGAATTGAGGGAGAACCTTAGCTTCCTGAATTGAGGGAGAACCTTAGCTTCCTGAATTGAGGGAGAACCTTAGCTTCCTGAATTGAGGGAGAACCTTAGCTTCCTGAATTGAGGGAGAACCTTAGCTTCCTGAATTGAGGGAGAACCTTAGCTTCCTGAATTGAGGGAGAACCTTAGCTTCCTGAATTGAGGGAGAACCTTAGCTTCCTGAATTGAGGGAGAACCTTAGCTTCCTGAATTGAGGGAGAACCTTAGCTTCCTGAATTGAGGGAGAACCTTAGCTTCCTGAATTGAGGGAGAACCTTAGCTTCCTGAATTGAGGGAGAACCTTAGCTTCCTGAATTGAGGGAGAACCTTAGCTTCCTGAATTGAGGGAGAACCTTAGCTTCCTGAATTGAGGGAGAACCTTAGCTTCCTGAATTGAGGGAGAACCTTAGCTTCCTGAATTGAGGGAGAACCTTAGCTTCCTGAATTGAGGGAGAACCTTAGCTTCCTGAATTGAGGGAGAACCTTAGCTTCCTGAATTGAGGGAGAACCTTAGCTTCCTGAATTGAGGGAGAACCTTAGCTTCCTGAATTGAGGGAGAACCTTAGCTTCCTGAATTGAGGGAGAACCTTAGCTTCCTGAATTGAGGGAGAACCTTAGCTTCCTGAATTGAGGGAGAACCTTAGCTTCCTGAATTGAGGGATAAACCTTAGCTTCATGAATTGAGGGATAAACCTTAGCGTCCCGAATTGAGGGATAAACCTTAGCTTCCTGAATTGAGGGATAAACCTAAGCTTCCTGAATTCTGAATTGAGAAAGCTGGTTGGATGACCAGTGAAATGTCCAGTTGCCTTGACTTATTTTTTACAGATATACCATGACCTGGATAAATGAGAACCTGCACAGACACATAGCTTCCTGAGCTCACAGATCACCTTTTGCACTAGATGTAGCCTCCTAAGTTTGACAGCCATCCAGCTGTACCCCTTACTGACTACAACATACTGCCCATGGTGCGCTATTCTAACCTGCAACAACCTCCCACACCTTAGCCTGGTAGCCAACCACACACAGACTGAAAGCCACAAACAGCAGTCACAGCATTCATCAAACCTTTATGCCCCAAACAGCCAAACGCACATCCAAAACTGCTGGTCAGAAGGGGTTAAAGGAATCAAAAAGCCCTCCAACCAAATCAGTGTGTGGTTCCTTCTCACCATAAACTGGATTGTTTTACTGTCTCATTGGGTCCCAAACTCTACTGGTCTCCTGTAGTCTCTTTGCAGCAACTTCCTATCCACTGTCTACTCCAGTGATGGTGGCAGGCATTTTTCAGGGGGGTTATCTGATGGTGACAACAGTGGACCTTGTCTGTGTAATGTATGCTGAATGGGCCACATGTAGTCTCTATCAGAAGCCTGTGTAACAGGGTGACCATGTTGTCCCTCTATAACAGAAAGTGTCCGGACAAGGGATCTTCAAAGTATTACATAACATAGAAGCCAAACTTACTTCCACAGGACCCTCTAAGAGGACGGGGTGTGTAAAGTCCACGTACTCGCCCTCTGCTGAGAACATCCCCATGCCTTCATATCTGTTACCAACCTGGCGAGAACAAAAACATATTAAGCCTAAAGAGAACCAATCGTGTTGACTCAGATTCGGGTTTATGCAAGAATCTGAATAGTCACCTTCCAATCATTATAACTGTATAGTCGTAATATTTAAAGAGTTATATTTGTCCCCTCACTTTTACTTACTGTGTGAGCCGAAAACATTAGCTGGAGTGTCAGGAGGTCAGAGGTCACTGGAGGTCTGAATTTGCTGTCCTATCCTGCAGACCATGTATGTAAGGTCAGGCGATTGACAGGCTAGGAAATGTGACAGACGTAAGATGACCTCTGACCTTACCATTTCCTCAGCGAAGGAAGCTCCCATATTTCTGTTCTGGCGAGTTCCTTTGATGAAGAAAAAGAAAATACTTATTTTTCTAGGATACGATTTAACACAGAGTAATACTTAACCTTCCTTTATGTTCCTCCTTGCCAGATCCAGTTCTGAAGACCTGATTTCCCAAAGCCACCTTTTTTGCCAGTCTCGTAATGGCTTTGTCACCCTTGCAGACATCATTATGAACAGATACTCCACAGTCCCTCAGTGTACTACTTAACTTTACTGCACGGTTCTACAGTCTTCCTCCTTTCCAATTTTAGTTCACAAGACCAATACCCCATAAGTGAACTTTTTGCCAATCTCCTACTGGCGTTGTCACCTTTCCTGCAGACATCATTACTAACAAATACTCCACGGTCCCACAGTCGTCCTCCTTGCCAGATCCAGTTTTGGTGTCTGATCCCTCGAAGCCAAAGTCTTTGCCCTTTCTCCTACTGGCCTTGTCACCTTCCATCTCAGGGACAACACATACTCCACAGTCCCTCAGTGAAATACTCAACCTTACTCCACGGTCCCACAGTCTTCCTCCTTGCCAGATCCAGTTTTGATGTCTGATCCCTCGAAGCCAAACTCTTTGCCCTTTCTCCTACTGGTCTTGTCACCTTCCATCTCAGGGTTCACAAACACAAACTCTACACTCCCTCAGTGTAATACTCAACCTTACTCTACAGTCCCACAGTCGTCCTCCTTGCCAGATCCAGTTTTAATGTCTGATCCCTCGAAGCCAAACTCTTTGCCCTTTCTCCTACTGGTCTTGTCACCTTCCATCTCAGGGTTCACAAACACAAACTCTACACTCCCTCAGTGTAATACTCAACCTTACTCTACGGTCCCACAGTCTTCCTCCTTGCCAGTTCCAGTTCTGAAGACCAATCACTTGAAGCCAATCTTTATTAGTCACCTTCTGGCCTTGTCACTCCCTCTTAAAGACCTCATCACGAACAAATACTCCACGGTCCCACAATGTGATACTAACTTTATTCTGCGGTGCCACAGTCTTCCTCCTTGCCAGTTCCAGTTCTGATGACTGATCCCTGAAACTGCCCTTTATCCCAGCCTTCTCCTGGCTTCGTCAGCCTCCCTCTTGCACATTTCATCACAGACAAATACTCCAAGGTCCCACAGTCTTCCACCTTGCCAAGGACAGTTTTGACAGCCGATCCCCCCACTCTTTTTTTCACTTTCCTACTGGTCTTGTCACCCTCCTTCTCACATACGTCATCAGGCACAATGCAGGACCAGTGAACACCACAGTTACAGCACTGTGCCTGGTGATGATGGAGTGCCTGTTTCCCCTACCAGGATGAAAGAGCCAAGGAAAGGACTATTGGCTGTAGGATTGCAGGACTGTGTAAAGAGGACATTTTTTTTATAGATCATCCCCTAGACCAGTGGTTCTCAACTTGTGTAACCTCAGGACCCCCATTTGTCCTTGGTTATTAAGTCGTGACCCAAGTTGCATTGCAATGGAATGCAAGGCATTGCGGTACCGCACGTTCCGATGCAGGCAATAGAACTGTGGCTGGGAGATGCGTTTGGTGTGCCAATCAAATGAATGGCAACACAACGCACCTCCCCCACCAGGTGCAATTGCATGGTACAGTGCATTAATGGCACAGAAGTAGTGTGAATAGGCCCTCAAAAACACTGACAGACACACGGTGCCGGGCAGCATATTTTGAATGACTGCTTGGTGCGAGAACTGAAAGTGCTGCGCTAGGGGGAGGCTGAGGAGTCCCTCACCTAGAAAAGTGGAAGGCACACGGGGACCTACTGAACACAAGGTCGTGACCCACCAGTTGAGAACCAAGACCCTAGCATTACATTCTGCATACACAAGGGAGGGACCAACTTTTAATTGTTTAATCTCTTGCCTGGAATTTTACCTTAACCTTCTTGATTGTATGATCCCTCCTGCAGCCATTGCTCTATAGGGTCTGTCTGCCCTTTTCAACCATGACATTTTGCCCTCCAGCAGACGTGTTTACCTCCATTGTGACTTCATGAACATTTGTTTTTGCTTGCGTCTAAGATGCTTTTCTACCCCATGTCAATGTATAAGTAACTCAAAGCAACAAAAAGCAGCTAACAGGAATAGGCCGGGTACTAGAACTACTGAGAAGTTACATGCCAGGTGGACACGGGGAACGAGGGGGCATAGCAGCCCCCAGTCATATATTACTATTCACTAAAGTGCATTTACACTTCTGTGGAGTTCGGCTCTAAGATGATACGTGTGTGAACAAGGCCTAAAGCCGTCATTGCTGAGAGAAACCAAGTACAGCATCCCCCTTCATGGCATGATGGTCATGACTACAGCACAAAATAATACTTGGACTTTTGATGACTACAGCACAGGTGCTTTTTATAGGTCATCAAGTACTGGACTATCACCTTCTGGATCTTCAGTGACTTGATGTTGTCAAAGCATTTCTTGAGATGTGATTGGACGGCCTCTGGGTTCCGGGACTGTCCAAGGATCTCCAGCAGGTCGTCGTTAGAAAGGAAGTAGAATCGTGGGAAGATTTGACGCTTTGTCTCCAGGTACAGGTCCAGGGACTTCTGTATACCCTCCAGAATCGCATTCATCTCCCCCAACTTCTCCAAGAGGCCTGAACACCAGATAAAAAAAAAATAACTGTAATTAATCATGTATATAATCCCGCAAAGGTTTTTTCTTTTTTTATGTAAAGTTATTAAAGAAGAGGAGACCTGACTTTTCTCTGCTGCAGTTAAAGGAGAACTATGAGATGAGTGATTTCCACTCACCTCATAGTTCTAGCCGACCTGTGACAATGAGACTGTCACAGGTCGGCTCAGTAGATCGGGAGGTGAGCGAACACATACCAGGTTCGCTCACCTCTATCTGCTCTCTCTTCCTATCTGCACGTTCCTTGTTAGCACATGAGCACTGCAGTATAACAGATTGGCTCCTGGTGCTGCTTCTCTCTCCCAGTACGGTCTGTGCTGTGCAAGGATTGCAAAAGGCTGATGCCAAGTCAGATTACTTCCTTAGCATTTACCTTAACTGTTAACTGGGCTCAGGGTGCTATGTAATAATAGTAATGCTCAGGATTATCCATTTTTACATGGAGTTACAAGCCTGAGAAATGCTAATGAAGTTAATAAAAAGAGAGCTGCATTATTTTGTGCATTTTATATCTGCCTGCAGTTCAGCTTGAAAGGGCATACAATGCGCTCCTTCAATCAGTGGCTTATATCTGCCATGGCTCTACGCATACCAGTTACAGCCACCCAACACACCTGGAAAATGGGTCCCACGTAGAGCATTGCTGTCATTGTTCAGCCTGTCCATGATGGTCTTCCAGCTGATATTTATCTGGTCAAACTCCGCTGATTCCTGGGGCAGTTGCTTCCTGATGTCCTCTCCCATGAAGATGTTCTGTAAGGGGGAAGACGTGATTAAGGATGGGGGCTGTTTTACTAAGCAAAAACAATAGCATGTGCAGTAACACAAAGGGACTGATTTATAGTTCTTCTGCCCAGCGTATAGCCACACGGCACTACCGTCACTAGATGGTGCTGTGGAGCATAGGAATTTCCATAAGGCTGGGGGGAAGATTTATAAATCAGCCCCATAGTGTCCAACCTACATGCCAAGTCTCAACAGCGTTAAATCAAAATACATGAAATAAATAAATATAAATGAGTAAAAAATAAAATAAATAATACAAAAATACCCATTTTAATTAAAAAATAATATATGATAATATAATTAACTAAATAAACGTAAGCACTTAAAATAAAAGTAGACAGCAAAAGACTGAGACTGGGGACTTTATGGCCAAAGTTTATATTTCAGATTTTGGTGCTGGGGAGACTCCCACCTTGAGAAATGCTGGGTGTCCTATAACCAGGCAGACTGAGGAAAGCTTGTGGCAGGAAAACATTTTCACAGGTGGATGTTAAACACGGGGTCCCCAAGTCAAGGAGTACCCTGTTTTTTTTAAAGCGACCTCACCGGAGCCGCTGGGCCCCCCAAAAAAATTTGGATCGCTTTCTTCAACCATGAATATCTGATCAGTTGAATCCAGTGCCTCCAGTACATATGTTCTGGAGATGGCCTCATCTGACTAACTCAATGACACAGAGGGTGTTTCCAAGCATGTAGGTAAAAATAAGACAGCCCATCAAGCTTTGCTACCTGAGTGCCCAGGGACTACTGTCCACAGCAGCACTGCTTCTCTTCCTATATAAGGCTATGGGAAGGGGAAGCAGCTCAAAGCAGGTCAAATGCAGATCAGAAATAAATCAACTGCAGGTCAGAAGGAGGCCAACTGCAGGTCAGAAGGAGGCCAACTGCAGGTCAGAAGGAGGCCAACTGCAGGTCAGAAGGAGGCCAAATGCAATAAACTCTGATCAATCTCAGAGGAGTCTTAAATCTCATATAAATAATATCCAACAAAAGCCCATGCTCTTCTGCCCAGGCCCTTACTGTGACCCTTTCCTTTATCCATATAGGGCAACCCCACTTCCATAGCAGCGTATACTCACCTTTTCTCACTATGACTCTGGCTGCCAGAAGTAAATTAAATACCCCACACTGCCGGGTATAGGTGAACATGTGACTCCCTCTGCCTCATGTGTCAGCTCTGGTGCCTGGTGATTGGCCCATCACTGTCACATGGGTTCAGGGAAGCACAAGTCTATATAGAGCTCACAAAAGGTATTCTTTCCCCAGCCTCAGCATTCAAATGGAGATGCAGAGGAATGAAGAAAGGGGAGTATATGCTGCTGGAGAAGGGGAGCTAAGTGACCCTCTTATTTTGCCCTGCATGGGCAAAGGCAAATGTCGCTTTAAATGATTTTTTGTAAAACAAATATTGTTGAAAAAAAACAACAATATATAAATATGTAAAATGTTAAAAGTTCAAAGTAAAAAAAATTGGCCAAAAGCCACAATGGTTCCTCTTTAAGCAACTCTCTAAAGTGTCTTGGACTCACCTCAAGGTACAGCCACTGTCTCTGCACAGTGAGGATCATTTCTACGACCTCCAGGATATGGGACAGACAGCGTTCCCAACGGTCCACGTCCTGCTCAAAAGCTTTCACGAATGGTGATGCCTTCATGGTGGAAATGCTGACTTGGTTGTCTTCTAGAGCCTGGAATGCTTCGTCCGTTCCTCTGTTGAAAAATGTATTTCTTGGGTGATTGGTTCACAAAGATTAGTCACCCATGTGCCACCATCCCAAATCTTGCCATATGTCATATAAGTATGTTGTTTATGACTCAATTACATAAAGATGAACAGATCTTTTTTGCCAAAGGCATGTCATGATCTGATCTTCCTGGCACTGACAAGATCCTATGCCAGTTAAACACTTGGCAACCTTCTAGGAAATTTTTGACCCTCCGATCAGCTTTCAAGCAAACCAATTGGCCACAAGTTTACTTCTTTTCCAGTTTCAAGTCACTAAAATGTTCCCCTTTTAGATGTCAAACATGCCATGTAATACCCAGACCGTTCTGGTATAGAACCAGTGGTATGCATCCCACAAGCCAACTGTCAGTGTGTGGCCAGCTTAAGGGCATGTGATCAGTTAAGAGGACCACTGTTAAGGATGGAGAGCCACACTCATGGGAAGCTTACGTTTAGCATTGCATCACACATCATGGATGTTACATGGGATACATAGGAGTCTGTTTAGCTCTTTTAGGAGAACCTCATCACGCTTTCTTAGATCCAATGTTGTGGACTTTGGTTATCATTCCTTTATTAGGTCCCGAAAACAACTTCAACTCTTTATATCACCTACCTCAGCCGATGGTGGCCCTTGTCTTTGTAGGGGCCAATGTCCAGCCTGGTCTCCTCCCACGTTCTTGTGATGTTCTCCAAGGCCTTGGTACAAATACAGGGAAATGATGTCAAAGTGAAACTGCACATTATTTGCTCTCTTTTAAAAAATATGAAATGTTAAGGCAAGAAGGCAAGATTATAAAATAATATTTAAAAAATCTATTTACCTAACAGTAGCCCAACACAGTAGGCAGCAAACTGGCTCCATGTACCTTTAAATGTGTCCAACGTCTGGGGGCACACAGGGCACCTGAAATACTCGTCTTTGGTCTAACTCCACGCAATGCAACAACCCCATCAGCCAGTAGAGAAGCTCCTGCACTGCAATGTGGGATACTATGGTGCACATCAGCTGATAATTATGCAACTATGCAAACTATATTGATTGGCTGCGGGGCAAGGCAAACCGTTTATAAATTTGTGCTTCGATCACACAGAGAAAAGCAACAGGTTTACTTTAATGGAAGCCCCACCAGCTGTATATAGTCATACACTATGGCTGCAACAACTAATCGACTAAATCGATAATAATCAATTATGAGAATAGTTGTCAACTATTCACATCATCGATTAGTTGGTTGGAGAGAGAGAAAATGTTTTATACAACCAATCGATTAGTTGAAAAAATAATCGGGCAACTAATCGATTATGAAAATAATCGTTAGCTGCAGCCCTATCATACACATTTAGCTGCTAGGAGAAAATAAAATACCTCATACTTCAGGGTATCAAGGGGCATGTGCCTCCCCTTACTCCCTCCCACGTGACCGTGCTAGAGCTTGGTGAATGGCTGCTCCAGCAGTCAGTGTTGTCACATGGGCATGGCAAGTCTTCAGCCCTGTGTAAACTGGGGCTGTATAAACTGTAGGCACTGAAAGATTCTAGATATATATCACCAGACTGGAGAAGATGATGACTTGAAGGGTGTCTTACTTGCTCAATGAACAGCTCCTTGGTGGCAGCAGTGGAGATTTCATTGATCTTGTCCACGTGGTGGTCAAGGCCTAACTCAACAATTTTCTCCAGAGTAAAGTCATCTCCCTTCTGGTCAAAGGGCCTCTGGATCTCCTGCTTGACCTGTGTCCAGTGTCTGGAAAAGATTGAAGAAAATGTTTGTTTAAAGTACTTCCTACTATTGCACAGCCTCGGCACAGCCACAACCTGCATGCTGCTGATCGAGACTGATCATTATTAGTTTCCCCAATTTAGATAGAGTTGATATATATTACAGCAAATAATGACCCAATCACATTTGTTTCTTATACTTCCCCACCAGCTATTCAGGGGCTAATCTTACCAGGATGTTTTTGGGAGGAACATGAAACAACTGGAAGTGGCCCCTGCACATGCAGGGAGAACATATGAAGGTGTAGACAGTGTTCCTGGTGGGATCCCAGACTCAGGATCCCACATCTAGGAGAATGTAATACTTTTTAGTAAGAAAGAGAACAATGTTCAAAGAGCTTTAAAGCTAACCTGTCATGCTACAAATACTGACCTGAAAATGACCAGTACGCCTATATGAGCCCATTTCAAAAACATAGGCATCAATATAGAGTTGGCCACTCCTTTCTGGTTATTGCAGCCTCCACCCTTTTAGGAAGGATTTCCACAAGATTCTGGTGTGTATCTGGGGGAATTTGTGCCCGTTCAGCCAAAAGAGCATTTTGTGAGGTCAGTTACTGATGTTGGATGAGAAGACCTGGCTCAGGAACAGCATTCCAATTCATCACAAAGGTGTTCAGTGGGGTTGGGGTCAGGGCTCTGTGCAGGACACACAAGTTCCTCCATAGCTCCACATGTCTTTATGGAGATGACTTTGTGTAGAGGGACACAGTCATGTTGTTATAGAAGAGTCATCCCTAAACTTGCTACAAGGTTGGAAGCGCACAATTGTCTGAATTGTCTTTGTATGCTGTAGCATTAAGAGTTCCCTTCATTGGAAAGACCTGAACTCAGTCATTTGGTGGTGGCCCATACCTATATACTGCAGTAATAACCTGGACTTAGAAAGTATCCTTTTTTGTAATCACAAATTCTGCATTTTTCCAGTGATTACTATTTCCAGGGCAGACATTGGCTACCTGGTCTCTGCCTTGGGATCTCAGGGGCTGAAACACAGCCTGAACAGTGATCCTCTACAGCAGCAGAAATATAGAGGAACCATCAATAAACATCAGAAAATCATGGAAGGACATCTGGTACCTCTCCCGCAGTGCCGGGTTCCGCAGGTCCACAATAAGAGGCAACGTCCTTTTAAACTGGTCAATCCGCATCCTTGATGTCTCCACCACATCCCAGTTTTTATCCTGTGAAAAGAAGATTGGGAATCTCTTGTAGCATTGGGAAGGCAGACCCAAACTCCTCAAAGTTATACAAATATCACTTTGCCCCGAGTGAAGGTCCCTCTAAATCCCATAATGTAATGCGTCACCTCAGCAACCTACAGTATTGAAAGGATAATAATTGCTTTATGAGATGCATCAAAGTGTGGCTCTGCTAATACTTAATGTATGCTTGATATCTGCATACTCAGTGCACCGAGGCTTAAAAGAAAACTATGGGGTAACCTTTTTATCCCATAGTTCTCTATAGGGTCACAGGAGGACATATTCTAACGTCCTCCCATGACCCAAAGCTCAGTATATAGCGAGCTATATACTGAGAGTGCCGCAGCCGGGACGGATCCCCACAATAATGTCGAGATCCACCCAGCTGGCTGATTGACACACGGACTCTGCCTATCTAGAGCCAGAGCCAACTGTGCCCGCCCACTCTCCCATCCGTTCCTCTAGTCAGCGCTGGAGGATCGGAGGGGGAATCTCTACGGGGAGCGATGACTGACAGTCACCGCTCTCTGCAAAGAGATGATCAGGAAGTGAGCGAGCGACGGTATGTGATCACTCACTTCCCAATCAATAGAGCCGACGTGTGACAGTTTCAATGTCACACGTCGGCTCTAACTATGAGGATGTGTGGAAATCACTCACCTCATAGTTCTCCTTTAAGTAACACTTACAGGTCTTGTCCCTCCACTAGCCTGTGACTGGACAGTGAAAAAAGAAGCAGGCAACCAATGAGCTTATCTCTCTGTCGCTTGTTTTTTGCGCTGCCTCTCCCGCTCCAAGCCTGAGCTCTTTTGTACATTGGATGTGGGTGTGTTTTCTTTTTTATCTGCATGGATTTCAGCTTTAAATCAGCTTAACAGAAGCTCTCACCTTCAGCTCTCTGCTGAGTTTGCTCAGCCTCTTGAACAGGCCTTGTGCCGTATTTTCCATAATCTCCGTCTGCAGTGTAAGGAACCGACCAGATTTCCAGTCCCTCCAGTTCTGTTCCCATTCCTTCGTGGCTTCCCACACCAGCTGTAGAGAGTCCAGGTCCTGTGGAGACAGAAGAGACCATATATTGGGGTTTAGAAAAGCGGGAGGGGTGGGACAAAATAGAAGACGCAGACAGAGGGAAGGATGCTTTGTCGGGGATGAGATTCTAGTTGATTGACTGCTATGGACACAATAGAGGAGTTCCTGTAGTTTTGTATATGAGCGGCAACGAACCTCCCAAATAAAACGGGTGGAAAAGCTCAAAGATTTGCCCATGAAAACCAATGAAATGCCAGATTACTGCTGTCATCTGTCCCTTTACAAATCAATGCTCCTGCTAATGAATGCCGGGGCCTGAAGGCTGCACTTTAATCAGTAAAGGGTTGCATGTGGTCCTCCGCCCGCAGGATGGGCACCAGAGACATAAAGTCTAGCTGGGAGACATTTATTTTTCTAATTTACTATGTAGCTCACACAATTATAATTTTTTTTCATAAAGCTCTGTTTTTAGCTTTTGTATCCTTTGTTACAGCTCAGTTATTGCCTTATATGAAAGAACACATCCCCGGCATCCCTTTAGACATGCATGCTCCTGATTAGTTGTGCAATCTGCTGTATAGTTGCTTGATTACACTCTGTTAGGGTGCAATTAAACAACTGATCAGTAGATTGCATAGCTAAAGCCTGCAGCACCCAGTGACAAGGAGGGAGGAGCATGCATACTGTATCTGAAGGGATTCTTTATTTTATATAACAACTGGGAAGTAGCGGGCTCTTGAAAGAAGATTTAGGTTAGGGTTAGGGGAGGCAGGGTGCTGTGACATTTACAGGAGCATGCCTGCCCCTCCCACCAAACCAAGGCAAAGATCAGCAGACAGACCCAGTGATGACATCAAAACAAATGATTTAATTGAACATTTTTAAATGCATGTTGATCAGCGAGAGTGGTGGTGGGTTGTGGGGGGTGGGG